TTGGACAGCAGGGGCAGAGCTGCCTGCTGCAGGTTGTTGGGAGTATTGGGAGCTGGGGACACAACCACAGGTCAGACCTGGACCAGGACCAGGAACAGGTCAAGGGCAAGGACCAGGACCTGAGCCAGGAACAAGACCAGGACACAGACCAGGACCTGAGCCAGGATCTGATCCAGGACCCAAGCCAGTACCAGGACCTGGACCTGGCCGGCCTGGGAGGGACTCACCGGCGTAGTGGGTCAGACCCCAGCCTGAGGTGACGCAGGTCATGCCGGCGGGGAAGTTGTCGGCGGCCTCGGCGAGGCAGACGGGAGAAACGTTGGTGCCCAGACGGGCGGGCGTGGACAGCTTGATGAGGGCGATGTCGTTGTTGATGGTGTAGGCGTTCCACTTGGGGTGGGTGAACACCTGGGGGGAGACGGGGGCGGGTCAGAAGGGGCATGGTCGGGGGGGGGCAGGGTCAGGGTGGGGGCACTCTCTCACCTTGGCGGGCTTGATAACCTGGACGTCCTCATTGGAGCCGTAGCCCTTGTTGTGCTCTCCAGCCACAACCTGGTGGTAGGTCCTGGTGGAGACAGGCTGTTAGCACTCATAGCATTAGCAATAGCATTACTATACATATCCACCACCTGGTGGTAGGTCCTGGTGGAGACAGGCTGTTAGCACTGCTAGCATTAGCAATAGCATTACTATACATATCCACCACCTGGTGGTAGGTCCTGGTGGAGACAGGCTGTTAGCACTGCTAGCATTAGCATTAGAATTAGCATTACTATACATATCCACCACCCGGTGGTAAGTCCTGGTGGACACGGGCTGTTAGCATTGCTAGCATTAGCATTAGCATTACTATACATATCCACCACCTGGTGGTAGGTCCTGGTGGAGACAGGCTGTTAGCACTGCTAGCATTAACATTAGAATTAGCATTACTATACATATCCGCCACCCGGTGGTAGGTCCTGGTGGAGACAGGCTGTTAGCACTGCTAGCATTAACATTAGCATCCATATCTACCACTTTCCATCAGCCTACAGCTGCTTTACCTTCATCTCCACCTACTGTGGAGGATGCCTATGTCTCTCTCTCTCTCTTTCTCTCTCTCTCTCTCTTTCTCTCCCTCCCTCCCTTCTTCTCTCTCTGTCCCGGGGGGCCTCACACTGACCTGACGTTGCAGTGGGCGGCGGTCACCACCCAGTTCTCATTGATCAGGGACCCTCCACAGAAGTGGAAGCCGTTGGATTGCTGGGAGAACAGCAAAGGTGAGAGGTCAGAGGTCAGAGGCTCAGCTCCAGGTTAGGGTTAGGGTTAGGGTTTGGGTTAGGGTTAGGGTTAGCCGCTCACCTGCAGAGACACCTGCCAGGGCCAGGAGTGAGGCACGGCCTCCTCGCCGTTCACGATGCGGGCGTGTCCGGTCACCTGGGGGGGGGTGGCGGGGACACCGCAGCCTGGGGGGGGGGGGGGAAGGGTCAGACGGGAGGAGACAGGAGTCAGACGGGAGGAGACAGGAGTCAGACCGGAGACAACATGAGCTCAGAACGGGTCTGAGGGCAACACTCACCGTAGGCGGCGCCGGCGAAGGCGAGGCAGGACAGGATCCACAGGAAGGCCATGACGACGGAGAAGTGACCACGGTGATGTCCAGCAGAGCCGGCCGGGGCTTTATGGGCCAGCCGACGGCGGGAGGGGCAACCAGCTGCAGGGGGGGCGGCCAATCAGATGCAGGCTGAGCTGGCGGCTGCTTATCGGAGCCCCGGCAGCAGCGGCGTTCCCACGGGTCACACGCCCCGACAGGGAGGTCTCTGATTGGCCAGCAAGGACAGCCGTGAGAACAGTCAGCTGCTTCAGGTCCAAGTTTATTAAAGTCACTGATCAGAGTCGGCCCACTCCCATGATGCATCTCTCCTCCATCTGGGCTCCCATGATGCATCTATCCTCCCTCTGGGCTCCCATGATGCACCTCTCCTCTCTCTGGGGGCTACCAGTAGTCTGAGCGTAGGATCCTGTTCCAGGCTAGGGTTAGGATCCTGTTCCAGGTAAGGGTTAGGATCCTGTTCCAGGTTAGGATCCTGTTCCAGGTTAGGGTTAGGATCCTTTTCCAGGTTAGGGTTAGGATCCTGTTCCTGTTAGGATCCTGTTCTAAGTTAGGGTTATGAACCTGTTCCTGTTAGGATCCTGTTCCAGGTTATGGTTAGGATCCTGTTCCAGGTTAGGATCCTGTTCCAG